TGTAGGCACTAAATCACATGTGTGTAACTTATCACAGTCTAGAAMCCCTGCCTCCATTTAAGTCCCTTTACTGGCTGCCCCCAGTTTTTATTTTATTTTATTTGTTCTTGTTAGAGATGCAAGAGAATAGAATGTATTTGGGCAAAAAAAAAAAAAAAACATACTAAAACCAATTAAAAAATAAAATCAGCAAATAAAAAAAAAAGAATGTATTTGGGCATGTTATACATATATGAAATAGAACTTATTCTAATTAGGATTCTCTTCTTGTGGTGGTACATGATGCAGAGTTACCCCGGTTGTGTATTCAAATACAAGGATGGGAAAGTTATGTCCAATTAATTCTACCATCCTTCCTATTTCCCTCCTTTCTCCCTTCCCTTCATTCCCCTTTGTCTAATCCAATGAACTTCTATTCTTAGATGTCCCAGTTTATAATACAATAGTCATGTATTTTTCCTCCATCCACTGAGAACCATTTCATCTAGTTAAGGAAATCTGCTGTAGTTACCTATAATTTTACTATTTCYGTTGTTCTTCCCTCCTTCTGATGTTTCAATATTTCTCCTCTTTATTTCTTTTCTTATTATTTATTATTATTTTACTTGGGGAAGTTTCTTACAGAATTTCCTTTAGGKTAGATCTTCAAAGACAAAATTTTCTTAATTTTCCTTCATAACATGCCTTAATTTACTCTTTATTCCTAAAGAGGATTAAATTAAGCTCTAGGATCGACAGGGGTTTTGTTTGTTTGTTTGTTTTGTTTTGTTTCTACAGTACTTGAAACATCTTATCCAGGTCATCCACTTGGTCTTTTCCAGTGGGGGTTGGGAGTAGCAATGCCCTTCCTTCCTGTGTCCTATTGTGGGAGTCCAGCGGTTTGGTCTGAAAGTTTCCTTTCTTGCTGGCTGTCATGTCTGGCACTTGGCTAGAGAGTGAAGGACTTTCCTAGAGCTGCTTTGTCTGTACTCATTGGCTTTTCCAGCTTTTGGCTTCTCCAGCACCCAACCTGTGCTGCAGRAGGAAATGGAGAACCCAGGAGACATACCACCATCATCTGTTGGATCTCAAAGTCCCCAGGGAGGCTTCTTCTCCTCTCCCCACTTTGCTGATTCTTACRTTGCTCTACATACACTGTTTACGTTTTCAGCATTATATGCAGTAGGGATTCAGAAAAGGGTGTCTTTTCCATGTTTCCAGAAAGCAGATGCTCCAACCATCTTCAAAGTTTCATTTTTTTCTTCTTTGTCAGAAGATGTAATGTCTATATTTTATTCTTATT